ACGCTCCCGTTGTCGAGTTAAACACTTCACTGGGTTTTGCCTAGTGAGGCACAAATAGCCTGTCTGTGTGCTGGCAGCCAGGCAGCAGCGTAACCACAGGGGAAATATGTTTCTGTCTGGGCTCGCTGCATCTTCCAGGCTTTGCTGGGAGGATTTCTCAGAAGAGAGCGGAGAATTATTTTAGCCTCTGACATGAGCAGACCAAGCCTTGCCCTCCTCAGCAACAGGACTGAAATCCCTCTCACAGTGGCCTGGTGGGCAGCTGCTCCCTTCTGTTGCTGCAGGGTGGGCAGCAGGGATGAGGGAGAGGACCTGTTGGAGACGGGGCACCCGCTGTTCCAGCATTGCAGGAAATCCCAGTGCTGGCTTGGGCTGTCAGAGGCTGCACTCGGGCTCTGTGCTGTGCCTGTGGTGAGCCTGGATGATAAAAGGTGACCTCGGAAATTGCAATTCCAAACATCTTCCCCTCTCTGGGAACGATGGCATTGTTCCCAGTGTTTCAGGCTGGGACTGCCCGGGGCTCTTTGTTTAAGCTCCCTGGGTGCTGCAATTCTAGCACAGAGCCAGCGTGGCTCTTCCAGAGCCGGAAATCCTGGAAGACGGCTGCGGATCAGCCTTTGTTATCCTCAGGATTAAAAACTGCAGTTGGGGATGAACTGACAAAATCAAAGTAACTTATCTAGGGACATCCTGCGGGCATATTTAGCAGTGTGATGGAGCCAGGGTCAGCCACTCCTTCACGTTTTTTCAAGCAGCACGAGCTGGCAGGAGGGCCCACAAACCTCAGGGAAGAGGCACGGAGTGTTTTAAACACGCCCAGCAAACTTTGTCTTGCAAAGAACCTGCTGCTGTCCACTCTGATTTCAGTGCTGAACGTCAGGAAGGGAGAAGTCCAAAGGGCATCGTGCCTCAGTGCAGGAAATGGAGCCTGGAGAGCACAGTACAGCCCAAGGGAGGGAAGGGGAACAGCTCATGCAGAGAGGAACACCAGATGTTGCTGCATTGCACAGTGGAGCATCATTTCTGCTCTCCTCAGAACTCACTCTTGAATCCACAGGCTGACATTCGATTGCAGGCGTTCCAGGGGAAGGTCTGGAATGGTGTCCCCTGGACAGCGTGGCATTCACCACACGTCAGTTGTTTTACTGGACTGAGACAGAAAGTAGATTTTTAAAGTGAAAGATGCAGCTCCTTGCAGCAATCCCCCTCCATCTGACAAGGTGACCTACACCCAGTCCTGGTGCTGCTGTGCTCGGGCAGGTTTTGCAGTGTCCTTTGGCGTGCTCTGATGTGCAGGCACTGAGCTGTGAACACACACAGCAGCTGGGCCTCCCAGTGCCTTGTGAAAAACCCAAGTATTACTTTCCCTTTGCTTGTTTCCCTTCCTCCAGTGCCTTTGCCTTGCCCCCGACCTGTGCCATGGCCGCTGATTAAGAAAATGGCTTTGAAGAAGCAGGTTTCTCTTTTTCCTCTCTGGGGAAAGGAGGGTAAAGAGCTTTTACACAAGGGCAGATCGATAGTCCTGCAGAGCCTGGTTCTCTGTTACCCTCAGGGCTCTTTGCTGCCCCAGGGCTGGGGGTCCCGTGTGGGGAACCCCCAAACGCTGCTGTGCTGGGTGAGGGCTGTGCCTTTGGCCTTGCTTGCAGGGGCCTGGATCCCTGCACACCCTAATTAATGCCAATCAATTGCTGACCAGATAATAGGTCCGTATTTAAGTGGTGGTTGAAAAAGATTTTGCTGAGCAGCCCTGTGGGGTGATGGTTACTGGACCATGTGCTTGCCATGGGCAGAGCTTGGCTTGGCCTTTGGGAGGAAGCGGGGCTGGTGGAATGGGCAAATTAATCAACGTGACTGCCCACCAGAGAAAAACTAAAGAGAAATGGATTTTTTTCTCAAGGAAGGGAAAAAAGCAGAGTTCCCATAAAAATACAAGGAATCTGAAATAATTCATTCCCATAACATGTGTGTGTGGGGAAGGGTGAGTTTCCTCTGGGCAGGGAGGTTGGATGGGAAGTTCAATTCCTCCCTCGGCTGCAGGGCTGGGGGTGCCTCCTGTGCTGGCTCAGGGTGCCGTGTCCGTCGGGCTCGGGGTGTGTGCAGGGCCGGGCTGGGAGTGCTGGGAGGGGAACCCCCGTGCAGGTGGCGTGGGGACATCTCGAGAACCAGCCCCAGACATCGTCAGAGTGTTTCCTTCCCAGCCAGCGTCAGCTCGGCACGTTCATTCCTTTGTCCTGATCTTCTGCATCCAGAGGCAGCACAGCATGTCCAGAGCCTTTCCAGGGAGGAATCAGCTCCAGTCTGTGCTCTGCTTTCTTCCGTGGCTGCCGTAACCTCCCCTTCTTTGGAGAATAAGATGTTAAAGAGCTTTTGAAAATGATCAAACCCTTCACTTTCACTACTGTGATTAATCAATCACAGCTGCTGCTTTACAGCTCCTTGTTTTGATGTGTTTCAGGTTGTTCCAAAGTTAGCCCAGCTCAGGGCCAGGAAACACATTCCTGAGCCCTGCAGGGTGCTGGGATGGAGCAAAAGCTGAATTTTCAGCATTATTTCCAACATTTTTTGTGCCGATGCTGCCATTCGTTACCAGGGAGCATGGGATGCTCCTAGGAATTACATAATCCTAAAAAAAAAAGTGAGGAAGGGATTTAAGAACCATCTCTTCCCTGGATGGCAGCTACATCATTGCAAATATTGTCTGATCTGCCCTTCTTAGCACTGAAGTGTCTGAGACTCCAGGTGGCAGCTCTAAAGGGTTTGTGTCAGTTTTGGAGGCTTAGTTAAATGTTCCTTAGCACTTACTTTTTTTTTACAGCTAAAGAGCCAAGCAGGATCACGAAGCATCACAGCTCAGGTAGTTTGTAAAACTGCTGTCAAGCCGATTAAGCTGGAAATGGAAAATTTGTTGGTGAAGTCTTTTCTAATATTTGTGTGATTGGGGGTGATTTGAAGTCCACTGCCGAGGTGAGGCCCCAGGTAGCAAAAGAGCAGTGGCGTGGCTCAGCCTGCTGCATTGCACAAACAGAATCCCCGAGACAAAGCATATTTACTTTGTCTGCAAAGTATATTTAGCAGAAACAAATCAAACTACACAGACTCGCTTCTTGAAGGTCCTGTCAACACCCCCTCAGTGCCTCTCAGCCACAGCTGGGCTGTGGGTGCCCGCAGAGCTCTCCTGGGCCCATTTTTGCCATTGCTCCACGGTGTGTGCAACAACTGCTTTCCAAGAGGGTGAACTGATTAAGGTGCAGCATTTTTATCAGGCTCTGGCAAAGCTGACACCTGGACAGCAGAGCAGGCTGGGGAGAAAAGGGGGAGCCCTGTAAGCGCCCTGGTTAGCCAAATGTCCCAGAGGGGAACGATGAACACTTGCTTTCACCTGGCTCTGGAAGTGAATCTTGGCACACAGGGCGTCTGTGCCCCTGTTCCTCCCGACTGCTGGGGGCTGCAAAGCCTTTGAGCCACCTCCCCTCCCCTGCAGAGACCCAGCACCCTCATCCCTGCTGAGGGACCTGCTGAGGTGGAGCAGAGCCAGATTAACTGCCTTTGTCCTGGTTGTTTGCACAGCTGCACACCTGGAAATGTCACCTCGCAGGGCTTGAAGCACAACTCTCTGCTCCGTTTCTTCCCTCACCTGCAAGGCTCGTCTGCTGGCAAATGAGGTGCCTGCTAATTCAGCAGAGCTGGGATAGAAACCCTCCCTGGTACCAGCCAGTCCATTGCAGGCAGAAAGGAGGGCACTGAGATGACATTGCTGCTGCAGGTGTGTGTTGGCAGAGGGAGGGGGTATGGGAGTGTGCTCACCTACACCCCGGCTCCTGGGACTGTCAGTGTGAATTCTCCAGTGGTTTTGCCCGGGCATATTGTGCACAAAGATAAGGGAAATCCACCCTCTTTCCAGATTAAGCTGTCACTGGATGTCAGAGTGGAGACATGGTTTGGTTGGAGCCTGGCTCTGTGTCACAGCCTCCGTGTGCACGGTGCTGTGTTAGGGATTGTCTCCCCATCATGTACAGTTTGCAGGGGTCTGCATTTCCCCCCCAGTTTCTTCTTTCCCTCATTATTGCCTTGCCGTCCTCTGCTCTGCCTCTGGCCTGGGGCACTTGTTCATTGCCTGCTGCCTCCCCTGAGGCCACGACCACCCTCTGGATGGAGACAAACCCACCCCGTTCTCTCTGGTATCTGCTCTCCTCCTCCCGCTGCTTTGAGGGAGCCATTCCTGCCCGTGCAGGGACTTTCCTCCTGCTATCCCTGTGTGCTGTGTGTGGCAGGTGCCTGCAGTGCCAGGCTTGCTCGCTCCATAAATCCCGGGTATTAAAATGAGCGTGTCATCTGCAAAAGTATGAGTCTGTAAGTAAATATGTTCCCCCTGGCACCTGTGATACCCTTCACAGCCTCTGCCCTGCAAATCAGACCTGCACATCCTTCTATTTTCACAGTGAGGAAAATCACAGAATCGTGGGATGGCTTGGGTTGGAAGGGACAGTAAAAATCATCCAGTTCCAACACCCTGCCATGGGCAGGGACACCTTCCACTATCCCAGGTTGCTCCAAGCCCCGTCCAACCTGGCCTTGGACACTTCCAGGGATGGGGCAGCCACAGCTTCTCTGGGCAACCTGTGCCAGGGCCTCCCCACCCTCACAGGGAGGAACCTCCTCCCAAAATTGATCCAAATCTCCCTTCTTTCCGTTCAAAGACGTTCCCCCTCGTCCTGTCGCTCTCTGCCCGTGTCAGAGCTGTCCCCGAGGAGGCGGCCGGGGGACGCGAGGGATGCGGGGCCCGGGGGCTGCGGGGGCTGCGAGGGATGCGGGGCTGCGGAGCCCGGGGGCTGCGAGGGATGCGGAGCCCGGGGGCTGCGGGGGCTGCGGGGGCTGCGGGCCGGGGGCTGCGGGCGGGCGGGCGGCCCTGCGGAGCGCGGCGGAGCCAATGGCGCTGCCGGGGAGGAGCCGCGGCCCCGGCCCGGCCCCGCCCGCCGCCCCCCGCCGCACTCGGCCTGGGCTCTCCGGAGCGGCGGCAGCGGAGCTGCGGCGGCGGCCCCGGAGCCCCGCGGGAGCGGCCCCGGAGCCCGCCTGGAGCGGCCTCGCCGCGCCCGAGGCAGCGGCCCCGCCGGCCCCGACCATCGCGCCCGGAGGCACCGGCCGGACCCGAAGGTACCGGGCAGCGACCCGCGGCTCGAGCGGGGGCTGCCGCGGGATCTGTTGATGGGAGTTGGAGGAAAGTTTGCCGGGCAGTCGGAGCGGGTCGGTCGCGGTGCCGGCGCGGGCGGGGGAGGCGATCCGGTGCCCGCGGGGAGCGGCTGCCGGGGCGGGTCGGGCGATGCCGGCGCCGCTGCGGATGGAGCCGGGCTGGGCTGGGGGTCCGCCCGGCGGGGAGCGGGCGGCTCTGCCCCCCGTGCCGCCCCCGGACCCGCACCGGGAGGGCGGCGGTGACCGGCGCCCGCCCTGCGAGCGCTCCGGCCCCGCGCCGGGCGTCGGTGTTTTCCCGGGGGAGTTTTTACGGAATGCTGTATCCACCTGGGAGGCGGCGGCCGGGGGCAGCCAGGCCTCTGGGTGCGGGACCCCGGGACGCAGCCCCGGCGGTCGGTGCAGCTCGGGGGGCTCCGGCGGAACGGGCTCTGCGCGGGCGTCCCTGCGGTCCGGCGGGGGAACGGGAGCTCCGGGGGCTGCGGGGTGCGAGCGTGCGTTTCTGCAGACGCAGGAAAACAAGCCTGTTCTCTGTGTTGTTTGGGAAGTTCGGAGAACTTCCCAAGCCAGCAGGTCGTGGAGAGCAAAAGCACGATTCCAGGGAGGCGGCTGAGCTGGGGGCTGGGGCCGCCGTCCCCGGGGACAGCCCCGACCGACTGCAGCGGCCGCTCCGGCCGGGCGAGGGGACCGGTCCGAGCAGCGCCGTGGGGCTGCCTGGCCCCACGTGTTGCACTGGGGCTGTCCGTAGGTCAGAGCCAAGCCAGGGCTGTTCCTGGCACAGAGTGAGCGAGGTGACACCTGGTTTGGGCTGTGTGGAGGATCTCTGGCAACTGACCCCTGAGCTGTCTGGATTGCTGGTGAACCCACTCCCTGGGTTAGTGAGACCCGACCTGGGCAGTGCCCCTCGGCTCCTGGTGCTAATCATGCTCTGGTTGCTGCCCTTGGGGCAGCCACACGCTCCTTTTGCCCTCCTGCGATTCTGAAGTTGCCCGAGTGCGCAGGATCGGGCGAGTAGATTTGCAAAAGGTTTGCAGAGTGTTGAGCAGACAGTTAAAAATCACCAGTTTGCATTTTCTGCATGTGAGGCTGTGCTGTTTGCTCTCCCAGGAGCACGTGCAATCCCCCTGCAAAACACAACAGCCGGCACCAGAAGGTGAGAGGTGAGTGGGGGCGATACTGGGGAGGGGCAGCTCGGAAAGGGGGGTGCTGGGCAGAGGGGCTTCAGCTTTGGGACCCTCATCATTCCACAGGAAGGGGACAGTGACCTGGAGCATTGCCTGGCACTTCTTGCACTGTGCTGTGGGCAGGGGAATGACAGGGACCTGATAAACAGTAAGAGGTATTTTGCTAAAGGTTCTAGACAGTGACTCATCTACTGTAGGAAGGGACAGGAGGGAGGGGCAGCACAGGAGCTTTCTAGAGTAAAAACGGGTCTTTCCCCGTGATTATATCAGAAACAGGAGGTCAGGAATCCCTTTTTACTCCCAGAACAGCGCAGACCTGTGGGTTATAAACCTCCTGATGCAAGTGCCTCCTGCATCCCTGTCCCTGGGGAGGATCCTGCCTTCTGGCCGTGTCCTGGAGACATGTTCCAAAATTTGGGGTGATTTCCAGCCCTCACAATTGATCCTATCTGATCGTTCTTAGTCACTTCTGAGTCACTCCAAGTAATTGATCCTTCTCTGTACGTTGCACCAGGATTCTGTGTGTCCCTGGCCAGCTGGGGGGTTTCAGAGGTCATTTTGCTTGGCTCTGAGTTGTTCAGTCTTAACTTTACTCCCACATCCAGCCTTCCCCCCTCGGGTTTTTCTGCTCTCCTCTGCCCTCTCCTGCCCTGGACAGCCTGGAGGAGGTGCAGTGCTGCTGCCTTTCACCTTCCCAGGTGTGCTGCACCCTGAGAGGCCTCCCCAGCTCTTCACAGTATTGCTGGCTGTGCCCTCTTGAAAAGGTGTCTGTGTAAGGAATTTTGCTGATATTTGCCTGGATTTGGTTTATTTGCTGCTTCCAGTTTGCAGAGGAATTGGTGCAGCTGGTTGGTCCTTGCTGACTGAGCACCTGAGCAGCCGGCTTCCTCTCTGGGGATTTATGGCTTCTGCACCACCTCTCCCCCTCTTCCTGCCTGTGGATTTACCTGGGAATGCTGGTGGCTGGTCTGGTCTGGTCTGGCTGTGGATTTATCATCTCTCCCTGCAGGGGTGTTGCAGGGGGCGAGGAAAGATCCCCAGATCCCCCAACAGACAGCCCTCATCCCCCACATCAGTGGTTGAGGGGAGACAACAACAGTGGGGGATTGTTGAGAATTATTCTTTTTCAAGAATCAACTTTTGACCAAAAGTTGGCACCTTTTGAGACCCGTGAGTCTCTAAGCAGACGCCAGATTTCTTTCAGAGTCAGGAGGACTCTCCAAACCTTGGAAATGGCTACAGTCTGAGGTGGGTCCTGAGGCTCCCGGGGCTGGTCCTGGCTGGTCCCTGCACTGGGTGCCCTGGGCACCTTTGGATCTGGGCGTCTCACTTTATGTGGGTTAAGCTCCCAAGGAAAGAGGTGTGACTTGAGATCCAGAACTGGTTTGAGAGATCAGAACTGGGCCAATTTCTAGGCCAGAACGGGGCTGCTGATGTCCCCAAGGGTGGATTTGGGTACAGAAACGGATGAAGGTCAAGGTTCTCACCTCCCTCCATTGCACAGGTGCCTTCTGCTGAACACAGAGGGGGTCATATCCCTGACAGCTGCTGGGCAGGTAGCAGGACATATGGAAGCTTTATTATTCCTTTCAGAGCATGAAAAAACACCCCTTGCTGAGAAGTACTGGAGCTGTGAAGTGCAGACGGGGCTGCCCCCAGGAATAGCAGCAGCCTCAGGGCATGGGGAGGAATCTTTCCTCAGTGCTGTACCCCCTCACCCTCTGCAGAGTGTTCACTGTGCTGCATCCCCAGAGGAAGGTTTAAGAGAACCAGGCTTTGCTGTGACCCTCAGGCAGCGTGTGGGTGAGCCTGGATGGAGGGAGGGTTGAATGGGACGGTGCATCTTTGCCCCTTGGTTTCAGTTCTCCTGCGATTTCCAGGGTGCTTTGCTGTCACCACGCTCATGTCCCCTGCCCTCCAGGGAAGGCTGTGCCAAATGCTCCTTTGCAGACCTGCTGGAGTGGCAGGGAGGCAGCCCAGGCAGTGCCCAGGTCGTGGGGCACCTCTGGGTGCTGAGGGCTCCCTGTGCCCTGCCCAGGGCACAGCAGGGTCCCGTGCCCAAAGGCTGCCCTGCTCCATCCTGCAGCCAGCTTGGGAGGTTTGGTTAAGCAGGTGCTTTTCTCTAGGTGTGTATGTGAGTACGCTTAAAAAGTCAAAAGGAATTAAATACGTATTTTTCCGGGCTGTGGCTCGTGCTGGAGCTGTGCACAGGAAAACAAAGGGTTTTCCAGGGTCGCTTGTGCTCTGCTGTCAGCTCGTGCCTGCTCAGCCCGGCCCTTGAACAAGAGCATTTGGGTCTTTGCGTTTCTGGGCACCTTGCAGCAGACACAGGGGGTGGTTTCTGCTCCTCCTTTGCTCCCTGTTCTGCTGACAGCTGCGTCTTCCTCAGCCTGGAGGTGTGAGTGCTTTACCTGCCACCACCTCCTGCTCCTGCAGAGCAGGAGATGGCGTTTTGCAGGGACTGGGGGGAGCTGTGCCACTCATTTCTCTCTTATTAACTAGAGGGGAATAAAGTTGCAGAGAGATCAGATTTGGAGAAAGACCCAGAGTTCCAAAATGCTCCCAGAGGATAGATCCCTAATTGCTCTCTAATTGCATTAGAGTTTAATTTGTTGTTGTTTTTACTGTAATGTTCCCATTTTTCTCGATAGTTTGTTTTGTTCCATTAACTGGAAATAGCTGGAGATGAATATTTGCAATATCAAAACTTGCCTGTCGTGCAATGCTTGGCAGGTTTTAGGCCTTTTCTGTGCTGGCAGGGGACATGGGGGCTCTGCCTGCCCTGGCTGTCGGGGACTCGGGTGGGTTGCAGAGCTCACCCCGGGGCAGCGTTTTGCTGTCTGTGCAGGTCCAGCCCTGGGAGTTTTGGTGGCCGCTGTCCTGCTTCCAGGAGACACAGAAAGCTGAGCTGAGCTGGCCCCAGAGCAGCTCACGGGCAGCTGCACTTCAAAGGGCTTGTTTAATCCCTTTCTCCCGAGCACAGGGGGGGAGCAGGTCTGGAAATGAAACTGGGAAGGCTTCAAAAAGGGCTTTCAGGAGCTTCATTTAGAAAGCAATAGGGGAGAAGAATATTGCTGCTCTTAATTTCAAAGCAGAAATATATTTACTTTGCCTTGTTAAAGCGGAAATTGGGTAGAAGATGTAGTTAGGCTTGGACCTGCTTCTTGCCAATGCCTCTTTGTTGGTGAAACAAATCCTGAGGGTGGGAGAGCATGAATAAACCTTTCCAGTCTATCAGCCTGAGTACTCGAGGCCCTAGGGGTGTCACCTGTGTCCTGCCTATGTATCACACACATGTCACTTGTGTGAGCCAAGCCCAGCTGCCCGTGAGCTGGGTGTGACAGAGCTGCACACACGGCTCTCAGGAAACAGCCTGAGCACGAGGAGACGTGGGGAACTGCACTGTGAACTCAAAACTGCTCCTAAATTTGATCCAGCCGCTTAAAAACAGTGGGTGGACCCGGTGGTGAAGTGAGACATCGATATTTAAAGCTGCCTTGAAGGATGCAGCCAGAGGCATGACGCCCAGCAGTGAACTGCGAAGGTGAGACATGCTCTGGTTTCAAAATTCACCGAGAAAATGGGAAAAGCTTGGAGCACTGGGTCTGCAGCGCCTGGAGTGGCTTGTCAGAACCCCCAAGAATGGGATGGAATTGAACACCCACTGCTTTTGAAGTTGTAAATTAGTCGGTTAAACCTGCTGTTGTGCAGAATGCTGTGCAGGCCCCTCTATTATCTGATATATAATAAGCACACGTGAGCTGATGGCATTAGAGGGAGAAA